GTTTTTCCGGATTTTGCAATGACGCACTCCTGAAAGAACCGTTTGAAAATTGAACGTGCAACAGTAGTAAAGGCATGAACACTGTAGCGTAAGTCTCAAGTGCAACTTTGTATCAACAAATGTTCGTCTTCTGATACTTATTAGCTGTCAGAGACACATATCAATTGTCCAGCCCAATGAAAAAGTCTGATTCACGTCCTCTGCTCAATTTGCGACACGAGCATAACAGTTTATCAAAACCAAACAATTTATTCAGCACGCTGTTCACCGATATATGATAGTGTTTTTTTTTTTTAGGCAAGACACACGGTAAAATGACTACTGTACACCGATAAATCGACACATTTTTCAGACAACTATCTAGTCTTCAAAAAGCAATGTAAACTGTCAATCCTAAAAATAAACAACAGCTTGAATGATGTGTGAATGAGATCGGTTCGAACCGCAGTTTTTATGCAAATTCGTGCGGTCGTCCTGAACCGCACTATCTATTGTTTAAACTTCCAAACCGCAAAACTGGGTTTTGTTCGGGCGGTTTAGGGCGGTTTGGGTTTTCGTAGGTTTGACCCGCATGTTTGAATATGAGATCACCCCTAAATGTGGTTCTAGCGCCATATCTCTGACTTGCTGTGACTGATTATATTCAAATTTTAAATATGCATTATACATTATGTCATAGATATATAAATATATTTGTTTTGATGATCCTATTCAAAATGGCCGAATGGTGGCCTTTGCTACAAAATCATCAAATATCAAGCATTTCTGGCATTTATGGATGGATTTCATTCAAACTCGGTACATACATTAGACATTACGGGTTCCTGATGCAAATACAGATACAAATGTCAATCATTTAAATGTTAAACAATCATCATAATCATATTCCTGACATGTTTATATTCCAGCTATATTACTATAAACAAAACTATATATCTTAAATTTGATAAGTAATGGTGACTGTGCCATGCATGGCTTGTTAACTAGAAATTTTGTTGAACATGGCAATGATTTATGTGCTGCTGCATTTCCTTACCCAAGACATTTGTATCTTTGCAGGAGAGTCAGTAACTGATTCTGACTTGGAAAAGGCAATAAAACTCTCTCTCCAGGATCCTCGACCCAGTACTTCTGGAGTGAAAAAAAGTATGTATTTGTAAAAGTGCTCTTAACTTTAGTGATACTACTGATCATTAGGTTTTATTTGTTGAACTTAAATTATATACAGAGAAAGGCAGAAAGTTGTGCCTTAGTTTTATACACAGTTACTGCAAGAACAATCTATTGTTACATATGCTAAATACCGATTTTTCTGCCAGAATATCATCAAAATCAAGTATTTATCGATGGATTTTGTTCAAACTTGGTACATACTTTAGACATTATGGGTTCCTGATGCAAATCATTTTATTTTTCAAAATGGATTCAAAATTACTGACTTGCGGCCATTTTGTTGTAATGAATGCAGTTCTAGAACTGTATCTCTGACATGCTTTGACTGATTATGTTAACATTTTATATATTCATTATACATCATGTTATACATATATAGATGTATTCAAAATGGCTGACCAGTGGCCATTTTGTTTAATGCTGTTCCACACCAATATCTCTCAATATGGACAATTACTTGTTTGACAATCAGATACAAGATGACTGAATGTCAATCATTTCACTGTTAAAACAAATGATCATAGTTAAGCATCAGCTTCTGGATTCATATCTTTGTCATGTTTATGCTCGAACTATATTACTATGAACAAAACTATATATCTTAAGTTTGATTACTAACTGGGACTGTGCCATGCTTGGCTGAATGTTTGAATTGTACAAATTTTTATTTTCAAGTCTGTACTAACTTTTGTACCATTTGAATTTATAGATATTTTTTATTTTATTATTCTTGTCTAAAAACATTCACATGAACTTTGACATCTTGTCCATAAAATTATGAAATGTGTTTTATATGTGCATTGTTTCTTAATACTTATTGACTCAGGTTTATTTTTTTTCTACCAGATAACCCTGAAGCCAAGGTCCCTGTTATTGTTGACATTAGTGACTTACTCGGGGAGAGTTCTAGTGAGGAAGATTCTGCTGAGTTCAGTATTGGTTTCCCGATTACAAAGTGCAATCAAACTGATGTGCAATATGCTAGTGACTGTTCTTCATTTAGAAGAAGTGAACTCGCTAGGAAGGCTAGTAGTGAAGACTTAGATGATGAACTTTATATACCAGAGGTGCGTGTTCATGCTCCAACTTCAGAGGCTGAGTGTGATAGAAGTGAAAGTGGTGCCACTGGAAGAAAAAATGTGATTGTGAGCGAGAAAACCTCAGATGCTGTGTTGGGTAAACAGAAAGCTGCTTTTCCTGCTTTGAGAGTCCGAGAACATTCTTTGCTGAGAAGAACTTCAAGTGAGCCGGACTCTCCAACCCAGGATAATCCAATTTCAGATCTGTTGTGTTTGCCAAATGCACATAGCAGAGTTGTGCGCTCACTGAGTGCACCACAGGAAGGTGTCATGTCAAAGTCTGAACCCAACTCGCCTGGTTTACAAAGAAATAGGCGAGTGGAGAGCTCACCGACTGAGCGGGGGTTTATGGATTCCAGGGACAGTCCTCACACTTGGGATGCCAGCTTCTTGGACTATCGGGTTTGCCGGAGTACTCAAGGTAGTCCCAGGTACCATCGCTATGGAGCTGGTCGTGGGGATGCAGAAAGTCAATTTAAAGAAGGAAAAGTGGATGATATTTGGCAACGGAATGTAGAGGACATATGGCAAAAAATGTCACCCATAAAGAATACAAAATCTGAAAACCAAATCTCCAGTGGGGTATCTTCATCTCAAACCTTGGAGAAAGCTTTTGAATCAGTCCATTTTCCTTTCAAAAATAAAATGCAAGAACACAATGATATGCCCAGAGAAGTCGTACCAATTTCATTAGACTACAGGGAAAATAGATTAGCCACAAAGAAGAATAGACACTCTGTCTACAGCTCTTCCCCATCACAAGCTAACACTCTAGAAGTGGAGCCACGAAGAAGTCGTTCAGTAAGTCCTTTACCTAGACGAGCTAAGAAAGAGCTAGTTACAGCAGATGGAGCAGTATGTGAAGTTTCATGTCAGATGACTTCTGTCCCAACTGAAGACAATACAGTGAAAGGTGCATCTGGGGTGACTAAAGGAAAAAGCGACCGCAGAAAACGACGTGAAAGACGTAATCGAAAAAAAGACAAGGAAAAGGAAAAAGAGGAAGCTGGCTGGCAACTTTATGTGTAATCACCGATTGTCCAATGAATATTGATATTTGGGAAAGCCTCTTCCTACTGATAAGCATTTCATGTAGTAGAGTATCTTCCCCACCTTAAATACTTCACGCATGAAAAAAACTTTCATGTTTACAGCATTGTGCACTTCTGTTTGAACTCACGAATATAACGGTTGGATTTTTATCAGTGCTCCAACCAGCAGTCCCAAAATGTTTTAATGTCCTCTTTATAAACAGAACAATACGTACTTACTTATTTTTCCATGTTCACTACTGAAATTAATTATTAATCAATTTTAATTGCCCAAATTTTATCGTCTGAAATGTTTTCTTAAAAAAGAAGACTTTTTGAACCCTCCACAATGTCCTTTGTCTTATAATGTAGTTGATGCATTGAGCCTGATTTGCTGCATGCTGTCTAAATCGTAAGGTGTCACTGGGATAAACTATATGTTGTTTCTCATCCATGGCTGTGTAGTGTTTTGTCATACAGTTACTGCCATTGAAGTTTACAAGAAATGACTGAAAATATTTTTTTTTTTTTGATGATGATGATGAAAAAGATCTGTATTTTTCAGTGTCTATTTACACAATCCTGTCTGTCCTGTCTTATGTTTTACTGGTTTAATAATTTAAAACTTACGGCTTAAAATTTTATATGAAGATATTTTGTCATTATCGATTTTCTTTCTTGTGCATAATTCAAATACTAATAAATGTTTATTGCTACACATATTCACAATTTCTTAAAAGGGTGTTAAAAAACATGAAAATAAATTTAAACGAAAGTTAGTGGAATTTTAATTCCGAAGCATGAAAATAAGTTGGCAATAAATCATTGGATTCACAAGTTTCCAGTAGATATACATGTATGCATGATCAACTAAACCCCCAAGGAATAGTGACTCAAACCATCATAAATTATTACTTTTTGTGACTAATTAATACGATCATTCAATTCAGACAAACAAAATGGCTAACTATGGAGTGATGATGAAATAGTGCATTTGTAGAGTTAACATTTATTGGCCATCTGAGCAATTTAAAACCATATAAAGTGGATTTTAAAGTCACCATCTAATTTTGAAAGATGTCCAAAAATAGTCTCATACCATTTTTCGGCTTGTATTATCTTCAATACATTCACAAAATACAGCCAATTGCCAGGTGTAATAGGTAGAACACATTCTGGCCTGTTCCAGAAAACATATTGATTTTTGCAAAATTGTTAAGGTAATACCATATAATAATTTAAAAGATTTTTAGAGCCAAAATATACAAGAAAAATGTTCAGATTGGGGCAATACAAAGTTATCCATTTTTATTCATTTTTGTTGGTTCTGCCTAGTTAGTTTACCTAAAAATAGCTTGAAATATTATATAAAATATGCATGGTATTGTAAATACTAGTGGTTTACTGACAGACTTACAAAAAAATGACTTCTGTTTTCAAACGCCAAACAGTTTATTTGTAAGTACATTTGAATAAAAAAAAATATTTTTAATATAAACATTCACGTCCATAAAATACATGTTCAAACAGGGCTCTCACCATATAATATCCCTCTTAGTTATTAGTTAGCATGTCACTGACCCTTAAACTTCAGAATGTAGGAACCCTGTCCACCAACCAATGATATAAATGATTCACACATGCACAACATGCAATACAACAAATGGCTTCAATATGTAAACCAATTTTGGGAGTATAACAACTACAGTTAACCCAACATATGCTCGCACTATATTTGAAGTGATACATTTTCCATACTATAACGCTTTTTCTTGATTTTTATGTCTGAGCATATATATTCTTATAGAAATGCAGAATAAAATGATAATTTAATTCCTCTCGACAATTAGCTAGTTTTACCTGAAACTATGTGCATGAGATGCTCTTGAAAACGATCATTTTGCATGCGGCTTTTACAAAGATTCTTACATATGGCCAGTAATGTATCAATTATGTTTTTGATAATGGCATGCATTTGCAAATAATTTTATTTTTTACGCATGTTACTATTCAAATGCACATTATTTTCCCACTAAATGTGCTACTGTAATGTTAATATTTTTCTTTAATTGCTTTTATCACTTAAAACGACACTGCATGTGTGCATTCTTCTGTGATTGTTCTTCTGTAATGTGTAATCACGTCTGTAAAGTAGCGAGACAAATCTTGAGAAGATAGTGTCAGTTTCGCAGTTTTTACATTATGCGCATACACATGCACAGTTATGTCAGCAGTGTTAATTGAAGCTTGACCAAGCGTCCATGATTGGTTGACATAAAAGTGCAGTTCATTGGTTG